CTCTTGGCATCGATAGTCGGTTGGGACGTCGCCTCCTCTTCAACCTTTAAGACTTCGAACGTAACCTCTTCATGGCCCTCCTTATCCTTGACTCCATCGGCCTCGCTCATAACCTCTTTGTTGAACGAGTGCGCTTTCTCGCACTCGGCCGGCTCGACTGTAATTTCCACCTCATACTTATCGTGCTTGACCAATTCGACCTTTGGCTCCTTCTTGGAATTGTCTTGGGCCATGCCGCGTGGTCTCGGCTCCTTCGAAACATTGGTCCTACTCGGCTTGTGCTCCTGGGGTCGTTCGCGTCCGTGCGGTTGCGGTGGTGGCGATCCCTTTTGGTGTTGGAGGTGGTGCGCCACCTCGTTGAACCTTCGATTGATGGCCTCCATCAACGCCGTGCGGTGATCGGTTAGGGCGGCCTTGGTGTCAACAAGCTCTCTGGTTATGGCTTCGAACCTTGCATCAACAGATTCGCTCATGGTTTTGAATTGACCTTCAAAGCTCTCGATCTTTTCCTTTATCTCCCGATTGGCCATGGCTTTCTTCTCTTCTCTTCGCTCTTTGCTTCGTGGACTCGTCTTTGAATAATGTTTTTTTTTTTTTTTTTTTTTGAACCTTCGACTAATCCCAAGAAAATTAATCGAATGAAAATATATATATATATATATATTTGAATCAAACGAAAAAGAAAAACGAGAGAAAGAAAAGAATGGGAAAGAAAAAGAATGGGGAAGAAAAAAGACACACGATCTAAACCCTCTCAATGAAAGCACCAATGATGAAGATCGCGTGTCCCGATTGCCGATAAGCCGCTTGCTCGCGCCTTGAATCGCCGATAGGTGCTTCTCGAGCCACAACCGCGCCTCTTGAAACGAATAAAATTGCAATAGATTCTTGGTGAAAAACTAAAGCAAAGTGTTTGAACAAAAGTTCAGAATTTTCTACTACAAACTAAGACTATTCAAGGTTCAATTCATCATATCATGAAAAATAACAAGAGGGAAGGGGCCTTTATATAGGCAC